CAACATATGAGAGATGTTGTTTCTTTCACGATGTATACCCTGCTATATACAAATCAAATAAAGAAATAATGTTTACCTACAAAAAAAAAAAAAAAAAAAAGAATATATGTTATCATATTATTATATATCTTGAAGAGTAATATTAAAGTAATATCATTAGAAGTTCTATTTATAATAACTTGAAAAAAGTTAATAAAAAAACTTAATAATATATTATTATTTATATAGGCAGAATATTGACTTTTAAAAATATAAGATTTGTAACTTAAATAACTATTGAATTATATAAAACAGTTTATAAAAAAAAAAAAAGTTTTATTTTGATTAATTTTATTGTTTATAATAAAAAAATTAATGAGTTTATAATATAAAATTAAATTTAAAGTTCTTTATTATAAAAATATTTAAAATAAAAAAAATAATTTGAATAAAAAATTTTAATAGTGTTTTATTTTAAATATAATAATAGAGATTAATTCTATAATACTTTGATTTTGGAATTTATAAAATTAAAATTAAAAAAAAATTTTTATTAATAATAATAATAAATATTTACTTTGTTAATGATTTTGAAAAACCTTTTTAACTAATTTCAATAAGCAAAATAAAATAAATATTTGTTAAATCATATAATCAGATAATTTTTTGTAAAGAAACATAATAAATGATTATTTTTAATAAGTTAATAATAAAATTAAATAAAAACTTTGTTATATAAGTTTTTGATTTTATTTAATTAAAAAATATATTTTTTTAGAATATATTGATTTTATTAAATTTGATTTAAATTAAAAGTTTTGAATTAAGAATTTTTTTAAAATAATTATTAATAGTTTTAATAAGTTTGTTATGATTTTTATATAATTTGTTTTTTTAAAAAAAATATTAATAAATAAAATAATGATTTTAAGTTTTCTAAAACTTTTTTAAAAGTATTTTTAATTATTTATCAAAATTTGAAATAATTTTATTTACAATTTTTTTATTAATTTAGATTCTTATTTTTTTATAATAATACAAATATATATATAATTACTATTAAATAATAAAACTTTGATATTGATATTTCTAGATTTTTAAAGATTTTATTACCATTTAAATTAATTTAATTATTATATTGTAATATTTTAATAGATTTTTTTAATATTTAGAATTGAATCAATAATTTTAATTATAAAGAATATTTATTTTAAAATAGTAATATTTTATTTGATTGATCAAGTTAATTTCTTGATATAAATTCAATTGAACATTTGTAATTTTTTGAATTGAAAAAAAAATATAAAAGTCTTAAAAATTAAAAATTATATTACAAAAAAAATAATAAAAAAATAATTAATCAATTATATAAAAATAATGTTACAAAAAATAAAATCAATCATTTAAAATAATAAATAATTCATAAAATATTTATTTATTTATAAATATTATGTTATATAAATTTATAATGCGTGATATTTTTATTCAAATAGTATAAATAGTATTATTTTTATTAAAAAATTATATAATAATTGATAAAAGTTACAAATTTATAATCATATATATTTTTGATATTAATAATTAGTAATTTTTTTGATAATAATAATTAAACAAAATTTTATAAATTTTTTATAATAATAATTAATAATTTTTTTGATAATAATAATTAAAATAAATATAAGAACATCAATAATTTAAATTATATTATGAAAAAACATATTTTAAAAATATAAACTTTTTATTAAATTATTTAAATAATTTATGAAATATGTACTGTATATGCATCATAATTTATATTTCTGATAATGACTGCAATGAAATAAAAAAAATTGTTCATGGTTAATTTTTGTAGTTATCGATGTCCAATCATTATGGCGTAGAACTATAAATTAATTTTTTAAAAATATTAATTTATTTTAAAAAAATTATGACATTCGTAATAAAAAAATACAAATCTATCGTTTTTCTAATACAAAATTAAATATATGTATATAAATTATATATTGAAAAAAAATTTTATTATCACTTCTTTATTATCGCGTGGTTTGATAAATTTTCTATTTATAATAAAAAATTTGTTTTTTTATTAAAAGAATCATAATAAGTAATTAAAAACATTTAACTTTGAAAATCGATGGAGACACCCGTGATGTTTTCCTACCGGCTCTTTAATTATTGGTTGGGTGCAAGCGCCAGATTATAAATAAATACGATGCGTATGTATATTACGCAGTAATAACCCATTCTTTCTTAGAATTGGTTGATATAATTCAACGGTGATAGGAAAGCAAGGAAAAATAATTATAATCATCATGGTTAACTTGAATTCTGACTGCTTACGTATTATTTTCGAATTTCTCAGTGATGAAGAGGATAGACACCTCGATTTATTTCATGTAATGATGGTGAGTGAAATATATTTTTTAATCACAGTCCAGCTGCAATCGCTCACAATCACATTAACTCTCATCAAAGGTTAATCGAGAATTTTGTAAGATCGCCGCACCCTTTCTGTGGAACAAGTTCAGCGGTCAACCAAAACAATTGATTACATACCTTTCTTGCCTTGATCAAATTTCTCGCACCTATTTGAAAGATTGTGATATAGATTTAGAACCAATACCAATTGGCGCAACTTTCGATTATCCCTCATTTTTACACAAGTTCAATAGCAGATCGTTGATGGATATGTGTCGTTCCTATACTAGATTATTGGAAATTCCAGTAGCAATAGAAAAATTAATACCGATGTTTCGAGAACTATCTAAACTATTTATTGGCCACAATAATCATATACTCGATCTTCGAATTATATGCTATGATCCCTTAATGAACCCCGCTCTTGATGACATGATTGCAGGATTGATGTTGTCAGAGGAAACAAATAATTTTAGAAATATAAAAGTTTTTCGTTGGGAAAACCTGAATCACGATAGCACGTTATTGTTCTACGAAATGTCAAAGTCCTTAAGGAATTTGGAAGAAATTGAAGTATTTCCGGACACCATTTGCAATGGAGACGCGTTCGCGACATTTATTAGAGCCCAGCGAAACCTCCGGAGAATTTTAATTTCCGGAGAAATTTATCGAGAATTTGACAATTTGACACCCATTTTAGAAGCGTTGAAGAGTCAAGAAAATACGCTCGTTTGTTTGGAATTGGACAAGTTGATATTGAACCCCAATGATCAAAGAGCCAAAGAAGGGTTGATGGCGTGTAAAAAGTTGAAATCTTTATCATTGTCAATGGTTCATGGGCTTTCTAAATCCATAGACTTTACCACATCTTTCACACTACTGGAAAGATTCCGATATCAGCACAATCTCAATCCCACTTCTCGTGGGGATATGTCCCACGTGTCTTACGAGCTTACAATCTCCAGAATATTAGAGACGTCCGGTGTAAATATGCGATTTGTCACTCTGCATGAACATTCTCCATTAGTTATCTCCACCATGATTCAACATTGTCATAATGTTCAAGAATTGAATATTAATACCTGCCCATTAGAAAATGAGGAGATTTGTAATATATTAGCAAGTTTGAAGAAATTACGAGTTTTCTCGTTTCCTTATAAAGAGAACATAGATGTAAATAATCTATTATTAGAAATGGCCCAGAAATTATCATCATTAACCTCGAGTTCATTGATTGCAATGAAAATATTTATGCCATCCGGAAACCCAGGGAAAATTATACCAGATATATTACAAAGGTTTCTTGAAGCTTGTCGAAAATCTTTGGTGAGGTATATCTGGATATTAAATTGTCCACAACACTGGGATTATCTCACAGAACGACATTTGGAAGTTATTAAGGGAAGTGGAGTTAACTTTCGACTGGACTTACCATATGATAACGTCGTGGCACAATTTCCTGGTAAATTATTTGTTGAAATCGCATACATGTTGTCTTTGTATATGTCACTAAGTGAAATTCTCACAAGTATTTATGATTTGAACCTATAGAAAAAATGTCGAAAAGAACTTGGCAGTAAGTGAAAGAAGATTGGAGTTATGTCGATTATATAATTTTTGCTTTTATACTGACCAAGTATATTCTCTTCATCAAAGGTATGCATTCGATGGGATGTATGGATGTTCTTATGTTTAGGTTGGAACCATAAAAGCATGATATTGTTTAAATAAAGTTTGGTTCATTTTCGCCTAGAAAATTATGATAGATATAAAGTTCAGTACTTGGGCCTTTTCAATCCTTTTTCTAAAAAAAGAATTGTACATAAACCTCCCCTAAAATGTAAATGGTTCGAAATGGTTCTTTAAATTGGCAAGCTGAGAAGTCATAAAAAATACGTTACCTGATTGTTCACAGGGCTATATTGATAATTTAAATAATGAATTCGAATATCTAAATTTATTTTTTAAAAAATAATCATTTATTAAATACAGTAAAGAGAAATAAACTATATCGATAACATTTTAAAATAATAATCTAAAGAATTTTTTTTTTTAAAGAAAAAAACCTGTTCAGATGATATACCAACAAAACATGTAAATTGTCACAATGGACGAGGTTTCTTTTAACGAGGTTAGTAAAAAGCTTGAACAGTCATTAATATTTAATTAATACTATAGTACTACGACATGAAATTACCGTATCTGGATGCCTTGCAAGCATACTAAATAAATAGATATGTTTCTTTAAAATATTGTCCAAGAAAAATCATAATTTAAAACTAAAAATGGATCAAAGTTAATTGGTTTAATTTAAATATATCTTAAATAGGTTAAATAAAGACAAATTACAGTGACAAAAATTTTGCTTTGGAAAGAACAAACAATAGAGAGATTCCGATTGAGAATAAAGAAGCTTTGAATCATACAACTCACCCGTAATGTAATCGATAAGTGCTATCATCAGCTGGTCCGTTGGTTATGTCACAATTACGAGATGGTTATGAAGAACAATCGAAAGATCCAGTCGACTGCTTATACAATGCTGACTTGATCGCATTTAAGGTTTCGCATGTTCTTTCATCATAAGTCGAGGGAGTTTAAAGGTTGCAAAGTCATAGAATGCACCTAAGAGAATACATCAAGGACATGTGTAAATTGTGGATTCCTAAAAATGATTAAATGCGATTCGTGCGAGGTGGCTGGGTTCACATTCCTGTTTAATTTTATCTAATAAATTTTGATTCATCATCAGAATATAAAAGCCACCGGTTACTGTATAACGAGTAATCTTTATTTTCTATAGCCTCGAGTTTACGTTTGATAATTCCAACATAATGTTTAAAATACACAATTAAAAATTGACGTGATTATCCATAACTGCATTGTTTATTATCATTAATAATTAATAAATTTATTTGATTGACTTGGATAAATTATTTAAAATTTTATCTTAAATTATAAATAATCATTCTTAATAATAAGTCTAATATCAAAAATATTAATGATAAAATAATTTCGAAAACAATATTTTATTACTTTCAATATATTATGATAACAAATGAGCATAATACCAATTGACAAAATAAATTTTATTATTATATCAATTTTTCAATACCTAAATAATTATAATACAAAATATAATAAATAGTATATATACCATATAGATATACAGTATCTTTCAAAAACAAAAAAAAAATAAGAAATATTATTTATTTTTATTTTTTTTATTCAATATAATTTATATTTATATTTGTTTTGTATAGAATTTTATTTTATAAAATTTATTTTTAATAATAATCCAACAAATTTTTTATTTTTAATTAGCAACTCATTTCATTTATAAACAATAATTTTTAAAATTAAATTATTCGCAATATTTCATAATTATGGTTTTTTTATATAATTGTAAATTTATTAAAAAAAAATGTTTTTTTATATAGCCAAGTAAGTCTAGTGAGGATCTACAAGATTAAATCGGAATCCAAGCAAGAACGCCAGTTCCACAGGTGGTGAAAACGATAGTGCGACGCTACGCTAGTGGCACCTTCCGAGGATCAGCGATAACAGTGACTGGAATACTGGAGTTAGTCTCTATAATAATATTCCATAATAACTTGCTCCCTGCAATAATGGACCAGCAGGTTGTAGGTGGGTTTAAAC